TAAAGCCAGCCACAAGCTGCGTTCCTGCTGCAAAGCTTTAGCTGCTGCTGGCATCTTTTGACACTTGCCTCTTTCCACGTTCATTAGAGCATATTATATTCCCAGAAGGAAAGTTAAAGGAAAGAAATATGAAGGTCAAGTATTTTTCCAGGATCACTTTACTGGAAATTTTAGAGCTTCTGCTAGCTTCTATAAAGGAAGATGATTGCTTTGCACGTAAATGGAAAGGTTTTAAAACTGATTTTACTTTGAAATGTGACTTCAGAAGGGTAACGCTGCATTACATTCCAGAGGTACTTCGGAATCTGTTCTGTTGACTTGAGTGACAAAGGCAAGTTTCTTTTCCACTTGAGTCTGCACTTAAGAAAGCTAAGGAAAAAATAGGCAACCTTACAAGGCATAAAAAGAATTATCAACTAACTTCTAGTTATATGGCAAAGATACATCCAGGCACACAGAAGATGTTTCTATTGGGCATGGAAATGTCCCGGTACGTTCAGTATTGGTCGCTTCCAGACAGTATGCATTTGCTGTCTAGGGGATGGGCGCCTGTATTCCACAGAAGTCCCTACAGAGGTAAAATTCAAGCAGACCAAACCTCGTTGTTGGTAACCACCCACAAAGATTTCAGACCTAAGCACGTTTACTGACCCCATCTTACCTATGAATGCTATATCGAGAAATGCAAGCGCGGAAATATTTAAGGGAATTGCACTCAGAAATAAAAGGATATGAAACTCATTAAACTCCAAATTAATTGGATCACTGTTCAAATACAAGAATATTGTCAGGCAGCTTCATTTAAACACCAATAAATGGCTTGCTTAAATACCTGTTTTGGGTTGTGAAAATGAAGCCCCTATACTCAGCACTTGCGACTTTTAGCTTGCGTCACTATGAGGCGTTCTTACAAAAATGCTCACAGAAATGTATTTTAAAATCACATCACCATATTCTGTGTCCCCTTGTTAATGAAAATTTTAAGTTATATCGAACACTTTGCAGTCTTGAGTTAACCTTGGGATACTTTTAACGGTGCAAGCCGAGATCATCAGATAAATACAGAATCGAGGGGAGAATTTGTGACTGGGCTTTAGAGCGACAACCACAGACTTAATCTTCGTGAAAACGTGCTCTGCACAAACAACATAGCTCACATGTGGAAGCAAAAGGTAGCTTACAGAGTCTCAAAAGAGAGAGTTTCAGTTATCCCCCTCAGGTTTCCGATTCGCCTAATTTGCCACATTTTTTGATGTTTGCAGAACAGATAACTGGGATTCCTGCCTTGAGGGATCAGGGAACGCCATCTTCCCATCCTTTAAGAGCCAGTGCAGGTGCAACAGCCGGGAACTGTAGCAACGTGCAAAGGATGATTAAAGGAAATGCCTGAAACGATCTAGAAGTTGTACAAACCACTACTCGGAGACGATTCTCACAGCTATTTTCAGATTTTGCATTATTACATATTCATAGCCACCAGCAAAAACTAGGAGGTATTATCACTCTGCATCATCCCAAATCAAGGCTGCTTTTCCTACCCACGTCAGAAAGGACTAAAAGTAAGCACTTCCCCAGTAGCCTTTAGCATCATTTCCTAGCCTGTATTCAGTTACCGAGGTTTTCCTCAGCCAGAAGGTGGGATACAAATTCTTCTGATTGTAGAAGGTGGATCCCACATCCTAATACTCCTCCTTGACCCAAATTCTTGAAGTACACTACTTACCCCATTTCTTTTCATTCATTTTTTTGTCACTTCTTTACTTTACAAAAGAAACGTAAGAAGGATACATTTTCCTACTTGGCTTACACAGTTTTCCTAAGATCTCACTTGCCGTGGCCCCTCCGTCCTCATCGGTTATGTAATCTGGAAGGACGAAGAGGAGCCAAAATTCCGCAGGAGTGAAATGAGGGTATTCATGCAGCGGGTGAGAACGACTACCAAGTGTGTTCCTCAGTCCCAAGCAGTTATTACCATACCATCCACCCAAGTAATGTAACAATGGAGCTCTGTTAAAATGTGTGCTGACCTACTGACTGAACACAGGAGTCAAGAAACATCTGCTCTACTCCTATTTTGAAATGACAGATAATGTGACAATAAACGCTATATGATTTAATGTCTGAGCTGAGTTAAACCTCGCCATATTGTTTGACTGCCTTTCCTCTCCTTCCCCCAGTGAGGCTACATAAGTGAATCAACAGAGCAGACAGATGTACAAGTACTTGAGAAATGCACAAATATGAGCCCAGTATCCTAAACAGTACTGGAATTTTAGGCATTGATTACCGTCCACAGTAATACTATAAATCTATAAATCTGACCTTTTCTATATACGTTGGCCCAGCACGCTACTCAGGTAACGCCAGACAGGAAGAGGAGCTATTCAAGTGAACGGCCTCTTCCAGTGGTTTTTCATTCATGGCAGGATAAGAGTTTGATATTATAGGTGAATCTCACCTGATAGATAATCCAGAGATGGAAGAACAGAGAACTCTGTAATCACAGGGAGAGCTGAAAGAACAGACTCTCTAGAGCCAGTTTTGCACGCAGAATTCAAGGTCCTTACAATGCACAGGAAATTCAGAAACGAAGCCCATTTGAACCTTGACCATACTGGCGAATAAACTGATTTTTTTTGTCTTTGTTGTTCTGTTGAACTTCATGTGAACTTATTAATTGCCGGACTATATCGTCCCACTGAGTTATTACATTTACACTGTTAATAGGTTCTATTAATGTCTGAGTTCATCTTCAGGTCGTGGGTCATTAACTGAGGCATGGTTTGCACTGTGGCCTGTTTTTCATGAAAGGCTTATTAAGAACGACAGAGACTATCAATGTTAATGCCATTTACTTTTCAAGAATCTAATGAGGTCATTAGTTTCCATGTTTAATTGAAGTGCCAACCGCAAGCATAGACGATACAAATGCAGTTGACCTCATCTTTATTTCAGTTGTACAGGCGTACGTTACGCTATTCCTGCCTCCCGCCCATGTTTGGATGCGTACGTTTTTGCAGGAAATGAAGCAGGCGTTCCTGCGCTCCTCAGCGATACGAGACCCAGGCCTCAGAGCACCTCTAAAACAACCAAATGTGCGTTTCAGGCTAAGTGCCTGTTCTCCTGCGCTTGGATGACACTGGAAGCTTCTAGTGCCTAAAGCCAGATGGTTTCAATAGATTACGTAATTTTGGTTATTTCTGCAGAACAAGCTCTTCCAATATTATACTCAGTCTGAATACACGGCATATGAAATTGCTGTAAGCCTGGTGAGTACGCTTCACATTTTCTGCATAAAAGGGAATCGCCTGAATCTCAGAGGGAAGGTACAAACCTTATTTTCTGCGTATATTAAATTTCTCTTGACCAAAAGCTTGTAAATTGCTACAAAGATTAGCTACCTGCCCCAACTGTCTGTCTTCACGAGCAACACTACCTAAAGACAAGTACAATGTTTTATTGCTCATCTTGTTCCAAGCTGACTTTTATCTCGCGATGAGGTACATTGTTTTATACACAGTTCCCTTTTTCTCCCTTTTGGCAAGATAAAAATCTATGAATGTTTTTATTATACACCAAACTTTCTTACTACAGTACTTCTCACTATAAAGCCAGCTGTGATATTGTATCAAATCAGCGTAATGCAGCTACGTAGCACAAAGTACACACAGCCCTAGGATACAAGCTGTAATGTGAGATAAAACGATTTAGATCTAGGAGATACAATACGTGGGATTTTGTGTTGTAAATTCCTGGCTGAAGAGAAGTTTCTTAAAACTTGTATCGCTCATTCACATTTAGCAGGTATCCATCAGAGACTTTAGATGAAATTACAATGAGAACGTTTATATTTCTGCATGCACCTAATGAAATCTAAATATAGACTGTGCTTCATTCCGATTCTGTCATACACCCAAAACATTTAATAACGCAGTCTGATGCCTCCAGGGTAAGGGGGAATGCAAATAAATTTTCGTTTCCTGCTGCACAGATACTTTCACCTCTAGATATCTGCTCCAGAAGGATACTAATCATAGGAAATGACCTACAAATCATTAGTGTTTACAATTATACATACCAAATAAAAAGAACTAAATGTCGCTCACAAAGTAGTTTTATATATATTTTAGGAAGTCTGAAAAAGGAAAATCAGGCATTTTTTCCCCTGAACGGTAATGAAAGACACTCGTATAAACCGAAATCCGCCCATAATAGGCTACGAGTGACTGTTGTCTTTGGTGAAAAGATAGAATTTCACACCTTTGTATAAACAAGTCCTACTAACCAGCTCTATTTTTAAGACTGAAACTAGGCATAAACTGTTAAAAAAAAATAAATAATCAACTTTCCTAGAAGCATCATTTTGATCTCGGACAAGATATTAATCTGGTTGGTGAGTTACTACTGCCAAATCCAGGTCTAGGCTAACTCTGAAAATTGAAAGACAACATAGGCCAATGGCAAAAGGCAAAATGCCACAGAAAACTGCTCAAACAAAACACACCATTGGAAAAAAAAAAAAAAGACACTTCTAGAAAAGGTAGAACACGCATTAAATAAGGTGGGTTGACCAAAAGGCAAATTAGGACAGACCCAACTTAAATTATAGACTTAAACCTTTGTGATGAGTCCATTAAGCTCTTTTTGCTGAATGCGCACCTCCGTCTTTAGAACCAAACGCTGGCCAGCCCTTCACAACTTAGGCAACAAACAGGGGAACAAGTCAATAAGAAGAGATGTTACACAACCTCATATTTGAAAGTTCGCACCAAATATTATTAACAGTAGTACCAGCGAAAGCCAGCAGGAAGAATGGCTAGCCTGACTTCTTAGAATGAGACAAGAAAGGCGCCAATTTGGACATGCAACCTGCACATCTGAAACAGCTTACAGTATTTCCACATTCTCACAGTATGTTGTAATTCAGGGTGCTTGTGCCACACAACCTTGTAGATCTGAATAAGCAACAGCTTGCAGTAAATTCAAAACAAACTCATTTCCAAGAATAAGATGTTTTCCCACAGATACAAGCAACAGGCTTCCAAGAGTTTTAGCATCCCATGATGCATGACTGAAAAGTTTGTAACTAACTGCCAAAATGATCACACACTAAAAGAGAAAAAAACCCCTTAAACACCAATAAAAAGGAAAATAATTTACCTCATATTTGTTTGCGAAATCCAAAGAATATCTTCTATTTGCTCGGAATGACTGTTTCAGAGTTAAATGATTTTATATACATATGCATACATACATATGTATGTATATATGTTTAGTGGTGGACTTGGCAGTGCTGGGTTAACGGTTGGACTCGATGATCTTAAGGGTCTTTTCCAACCTTAACGGTTCTATGATTCTATATATGAATTTATAAAGATCTATAGTGACATTACCCATCAGCATGATATTTATGCTAGCAAACTATAGTATTTACAGTAATAAATTAATACAGTGATATACAACTAAAATGCACATTAAAATGTTTAGTTTTACTAGCCAGTTCTACAAAGCCATAGAAATAGGACTGACTGAAGAGTATATTTGTATCATAATCGGTAAGAAAACAGTTTACTTAATTACCACTGTGATTCTGGTGTGGGACTCCTAAAGGACAGTAAAACCCGCGTAATTTTCCATTAATGCCAATGCATAAGAGAAAGAAATGACTTTGGCTCAGCTTGAAGGACTTCTGATCATGAAGGATGCCTTCGATGGGCAAAAGGAGCACGTAGAGGAATCAGCAATCGACAATTTACATTTTCTTTAAGGGCAGACGAGCACTGTAAAAGCAGTAGGCAACAGCTTACAAGGAAGCCGCTGAGATAATTACTCCTAAACATCCTCAGGTATTTTTCAAACCTCATTATCTGATTTAGATGGTTTAGACCTTTTAAAATAGGAAAATACTATATGTAAATGCAGCACATGATCAGATGAAAGGTTTAAGTTTTATTATTTTTTTCAAAAGAAGTTTTTTGTTGGTATTACAAGTTTCTGTTTGCTTTTTTAAAATTGAGACAGTTCATTTTGAAATTAAGCTTTAAAATGAAAAAAAATATTTTTTACATTATGGTTCACACGGCAAAAAATAAGAGAATCAAAACCTCACATATTAAAAATCCTAATTAAAAACCCCAATAAAATCTCACCACTAGGATATATTTCAAACACGTTCTTGCAATCGTGTTCAAAGTATTGAAAAAGTTACAGCTTCGCTGCTTGCTTTTGCCACGTCCAGCAGATGAGATCCATACTCATACAAAGCATTCTTAATCTGCTTTGAGGATAAGAAACTCAGATGCTTTAAATAACCAGAGAGGTGATTCAGGCAGATGACGAGATCTCACGTGATCAGTCACAGTCTCAGCTGCAGGGATGGTAACTGGAAGCTGAGAAAACAGTACCGCTGTAATGCGGTCCCCAAAATGCTTCATTGCTCTTACAATGCCTCTTGTGAAATTATTTCAAGAACAGTTGCAAAGACGGAAAAATGTCTTAGAATATTTGTCAAGTGTTAAACTGCCCCCACGCCAGCCCTGCCTCGCTACGTCATGAACACAGGAACACCGATAGTGTACGGGCCACAGCACCCGAACCAAACATTGCAATTCATAATTTCAATGCCAGCATTACAGTATGTTACTCAAAAGCAAATTAGAGCAAGAACGAACAGAAAACTAAACTTTCACCATCAAAACAGGATACTACCAACATATTATGTTACGCTTGCTTTTTAGCCTTTTTTAAAAACAAACAAACAATTAAACACAACTAGGTAATTATTTTGCTGTGTGATGTCTTGAAGAAATTAAGCATCTTTGCAGCCAATCATCCAAGATGAAGCTAATTTTCTACCAAAAAATGCAACTTACTCTAGGACGGAATGAGTTGCAGCCTGGGGATGGTAACGGTACAGCAGGAGGCAACGGTTTACTCGAAAGACTTCACCGCCCTTTTGGATGTGTTTATAAAAAAACAACAAATCTTCTGGAACGCCCTGGAAGAGAAGCGGTTATTTCAAGCCACGAAGTGACCAGTATTCACAGTTACATCTAAAGACACGTTGTGTTTTTATGCCAAATGAATAAGGCTTAACCTAATTTTATTCATATTCTTTCTGTATGTCTCCATGAAGTTATCTAACAGGTCATTAAATAAACATACCTGTAGAAAAGATAAAGCAAGCAGTGCTATTTCAAAATGAAGTACAGCTGACCACAAGGACAGAGGTGGAAAAATGAACATAATCTCCTTTTGACAGAGATATAAAGCTTGGTACAGGTTAGTCCCGAAAGAGAGACCCCCAGCTGCTGAACAGCTGATGAAGCCTAAAGAGCCAGGTAACCAAACAGCTTACTGAAAGGGATCACTGATTTCGGAAGAGTGTTTTTTCGTTTTACTAGAACTATTGTTCTTTCTTTGGTTGCCATACGTATACCAGTCTCTACTTAGGAAAGGTGAATCAGGCCCCATAATAAAAGACCTTAACAAAAACCTTAATAAAAACAACCTCAGAATGAGACAACGTCTGAAACCAAAACTTTTTTCTTTTTTCTTGCAACTTATTTCCATGGTACATTCTTCCTAATAGGACTGCAAGCAATAGTGCTGAAACGCCGCAAGAAAAAAATCTCCTCAAATTGTGGATCTATCAGCTCTAGGAAACGTTAGAGATTTCATGATCATATGCAACACTTCCCACCTAAAATCAGAAAACCTTCATGCCAGAGTGTCAGAAGGGCCACCTTACGGCACACAGTATTCAATTACACATCATAGCACAGGAAAGCATAAACCCACCTTTAAGATACAGCCCTATTCTGACGGAAAAAAAGCAGCATCTATTTACATTTTGCAATGGTGCAACTTCTTGGAATATGGCTAGAACATTCCATTTTTCTATGTTTAGATACAGATTTTTCTTTCCTCCAACCCAGTGTTTAAAAGGTCAGATGACTTTATCACGCTAAAAATCTCAGATACATAAAACCAGGTGGTCCAAATAAAATATTTAAGTGCAGCATCAATAAAAAGCTGAAAGATAACATGACAAAGTTGTGAAGGAAAAGTAAAAGATGGGAAAGATATTGAAATACATTTCTTTCTGTAGGCAATATCACATACATGAATAACAGGGGCATAAACCTCAACCTCAGCTGTTCTATTTCAACAGAATAATAAGAGCACAATTTAAATTTTTTTTAATTTATTTTTTCTCCATTGCCACAGCTTCTGAGTTTCTTGCATAATTAAGCAAACGAGATTCTCTAATTAAAGTGCTGGACACGAAATCCCTCTGTGGTTCCTTCTGGCCTTCTCGTTACACGAGCAATACAGTTCAGCGAGGGTTTCTCGTGCCCACCGCACTGAGTGCCCGTGTCAGGCGGGGTCTGGACTGCGCCGCCAAGGGGGATGGAGAGGGAGAGCAATGAAACAAAAAAAGCTTTGAACTCTGGAAAACAAATCCAAAACAGTCAATTGAACATACGTATCTTGGGAGAAATCAGAACCAAATCAGGCTCTGTACTCGCAGCTCCAGACTTTACTATATAATAGATTGAGTTAAGACACTGAACTGGGCCACGCTCCCAGGTTCTGGATAAAACGGATTCTGATCTGATTGCTTGCTACGGGCAGCTTATCTGTAGCTACTCTTTGTCTTTGTAGATATTTGTCTGACTTTTAGTTTAAGAGCTCTGATGCAAAAGAAAACTTTTAGAGAACTTCATACAATTTATGCTTTATATGAAGCCACTTCGAAAGCCACAGAAGAAACCTGGGGGAAGCTGGGGTAGCAGACAGCAACCACAGTCATCAACAACACAAGCAAAACACAAACTCCAATTCTTTCCATTTATCTTGTAGCCCTTTCTATCTTTTCCTTATTCTGGAGTTTAATGGAAATATTGAGCAGCAAGGTTTAAACCTTTTTCTCTTTTCCAGTCACACACTCGACTGTGTCGGGCAGGGCACAGACTTTGTAGCACATATCAGCTTACTGCAGTACTCATATTTTGATTCAGATACATGATTGCACAACATACATATCTGCAATTCATTTTCTTTCGGATAAGCATTTACACTATTCAAGATAACCGTTAATATGTATATTAAAAAAGAGAGTTACTGCAAAAGTAAAGGGATCTTTCAAAATGCTGTTTGGAGTGCTCCTTTGCTTTACTTTAACTGGCAGAAGTACTTTGAAATAAAGCACGCTCGCCCTAGGAACGAGCAGGTGCCTCGTATTGCTCAGCAGCGGCCTCTCACATTACAAAGGAGCAGCACTGCCATGCGTTTTTCAGGGGAGGAAAGATGTTGACTGTGTTATAGATCCTGCAGGGATGGGACTTCCTACGGCTCTTGAGCGTGTGAGTTTGTTGCTATACAAGAGTTTCTTCCCAATTGAGACGTATTATTGGATCCAGATGGCATTTTAAACACCAGGAATCTTTGTCAAACAACAGAACTTTCAAAGAAAAAGCTGTTTAACCACCAAAAGTGTATTTTAATGTATTTTTGGAAAATTAATATCCATTGCTAAAAGTATCCATTAACAATCCAGCAATAGGCTGTCACATAAATACTTTTCAGCATTAATAAATACAATTAAATTGCACAGTTTACCTGTTACTGGACTATATAGAGAATTTTCCACATTATAGGCAAACCCCAACCCTATATGCTCTGCTGCACTGAGGGATAAACTCACTGGCCTGCCTCGCTCAAGGCTGTGCTCATCAGCTGCTGATTACACCTCCGAGAGAAAAGCACAGCCTGCACCGGCTCTGTTCTAACCAGCCTGCACCAGCCATACGCAAAATCATCGTTCACCTTAACGTATTACTACTAAACAGGTGAAGGATTTGTGCTTGCCCAGTATTTTGGGCAGGTATCACTTGCTGTGCTGATGGTTGGCTGTACCGATGAGGGCACTGATTCTGTATACGCAATGGGATGTCCAGCAGAACCTAACTTGAATTCAAGTAATTCCTTGTTCAGGGACCAAACTAATATTCCATTAATCTTCTCTTGTCACCTTCTCATTGCTCTCTGTTTCTCGCTCCTAGCAGATCGGTGTGCATGAAACAGTACTCCAGCTCCACTGTCCACAACATACGCATTCAGCAAGGAGGTGCAAGCCACCTCCCACTACAACAGGCAATTCTGGCTACACTACACCTTTTGCAGCTCCACCATCAGTACTGGTGAGGAGCATCAGTAGGGATGAAGATACTGATCAGCAGTTTTTGGAGGACTTTTCATGAAAAAGTGGCCCTCTGTGCAATGCTGTAACTAGTAAGACCTGGTGAGAGATCATCTTGTAGCCCTGGGACAACCAACAGTAACTACTACAGGACTTCAGGCTGACGGGAATCTTTTTTTGGTCAGTTGGACAGAACTTACTATTAGGCTGTACAGGCATGAACACAATACAAAAGCTGCCTTTTACTGCTAAACCTAATACAGGAGATGGATTCTGTGGCAGAATCACTCTGTCCCAACTTCCTCATCCACCTTTTTTCCCTCCATTCAGCCTTCTCTCAGTCACCTTTGACGTGTACGCTTCCCCTGTCCCCTTCCAGCTGCCAGGCACTCCAGCAGAGGTGGCAGATCCTGGTGAGCAAAACCAGGGGAGATTCAGCCTATGCAGAGCAGTCTAACTAGTGAAAATGGGAAATCTAACACTGAATGTTCCATATTTCAAGAATACATGCATTTATAGCAAAAAGTGATGACAAACAAGACAAGGGAAGTAAGTCTATCCACACATGAAAAAAACCTTCAGCTTTGGGAAAGCTTAGTCCTTCCTCTTGCTCAGAGGCGTCAAGGAAAATTGGGCTAGAGCTTGGTACACTTTTTGCAAACCAGACAGCAACATCAGGGTAATTGTTGGACAGAATAGGCCAAATTGCTTTAATTCCTCAGAGGAGCCTAAAATTGGTGAATGGAAAGAATGACTCAAAAAGGAAGTAACTTTTGATTCCATACTGACCTGTTTCTTGCAGGACTTCGGAAAGAGTTTGACTTTTGATTCCATACTGACCTGTTTCTTGCAGGACTTCGGAAAGAGTTTGTTTCATTGCTCTTTTTTAAACTAACTCATTTCATACTGCACATTTTAGAACATTCATTAAAAAAAAACCCCACAGCATTAATATTACACTAGAGTTGCATAAAAAGCAGACCAAATGGTGTATATTACAACACCTAAGATTAAAGAGGAAAAAAAATTCTAAACTCAGAGTCATTTAGCAACAAAGAAGGGATGTTGGGTAAAAAAATCAAAGTACTTTTTTTTTTTTTTTAATACGTATGCCAACAGCAACAGCATTTCCTCAAAGTCTTGAGTCTTGGACTTACAGAAATAACACATACAGAGGGGTTGGTTGCATGGAAGTGAATACAAAAGATACCGTATTTTAAAGGAAGAAGTACAGCCTGAGAAACAAATGCTGTTCTGCCAGGCACTGAACTCCCCTACTCACCAAGAAATGCTGTTCAAAGTGTGCTGCTAATGGGGAACAGCTACCAAGCTGCTGGAAGCTGAAACTCAATAAGAAATTGCAGCGCTGCTCCAATTTAAATGTAAAGGTAAAAAAAAAAAAGGAAACAAAGTAATTTATCAAGAATTATCAATCCTTCGGTCTTTCTCTAAAGACAAGTTTTGTATTAAATGTCAATTGTATTTTTCTTTTGTAATGAACAACTTCTTATTGAAATTACTTATTTCAAGGAGAAATTATCGTTAATTGAGAATACTCCTTAGTTTAACTTCCTGTGGGATAGTCACCAGAGGCATGCAAGCAGGCCAGCCACAAGCCAGCCCCACATTAAATAGCTATTAATAGCTTCTCTTCAGGATTATCCGAGATATTCTTAAGTCTCCCTTTCTGCAGATCTGTCACTTCACTTTTTGGCTCCCCTCCAGATCATGTCTTTACATCATTTTGCCTTGATTGTAAGACCTGAAGCCTGTAACATTTACTTCATTGTTTGGGAAACAACAGCTTAGAGGAAACTCCAAAAGATTGCTTTCACCCAAATGTACTGGCACAGAGAAATTCAGTTAAACAAAGATCATGGGGAAGTCAAATGGAAGGGAGGTGTTAAATTCTAAATGATATTTAATAACAGACTAGCAAAAATTGTCATTAGACGGGGGCATGGAGTGAATTTTCAAATACCTTATAAAATGTAATTAAGCACTGGCTCCACCACTTTTTCTTTTCTTTTTAGATCAAATACTGATCTCTGTTCAGCCTTAACTATTCCAAGGCAAAAACATTAGTGCCTGTGTTTTATCCAAATTTTCCCCAGAGCACCTTGATAGGTTATTTGACAGACTGCCCATATTTTAATTCATGTTCCAAAAAACCAAATTCCTACTTAGCCTTTTACCTTTCAGGCGTTATTGTAACTGCTGGTCTTTCTGGAGGGAATGATATTTGTGTGCTCTGGCAGAGAAAAATGGAAAAATGCATTAGTTAACACCTAATAGCCTACAAAGTTATCTTAGAGCTTTGCAGCATGTGCTACAGCCTCCTGTGCACCAAAGGATATTTTGACACCTCCTCAACTCATGTTTTTTTGTGACCTTTTATCACAGAAATAGATCAAAACTGAGCTCCAGACACTTTGTTCAGAGCCACAGTTTGTATTCAGAAAGGCCGGTGGCTTATAATATGCTATTCCATCTGGGGCTCATTAAGAATAATTTCCCTCTGTTTACACTTTAGATTAGTTTAGAACTTTAAGGCTGTCATTCTATTTTTAGTTTTCATACACTTAAAAAGGAAGGTTAAATACAGAGGCGACAGGAAATTTGGGACCAAGTTGTGGTAAAACTCTAGAGAAAGAAACAAGTGTGGCCTATTACAGTTGTGATGTCAAGAATACTGCTTGAGCAAAGCCAAGACTGTACAATCTGCCACATTTGCATGGAGTGGAGTCTGCAGGTTAGCAATGCTCATTTATACAGTTCCTAATGCACTCAAGATTTCTTAGAGCATTTATCTAAAACAACAAGCTAGTTGCTTTAGCTTAGTGCCATTACACACAAGCGGCTCGAACAAAAGGAGAACAATGGGGAAGAGACAAGTCATGTGCCTGCCCAGTGATCGCCATTCGGACATTAATAGCAAACAAAATCTGTCGTCCACCTGAAGAATACATTTTGGTTGAAGTACACAAGGTCAGTCGGCTACGATTGCAAAACGTTGGTTTTGTGTGCAAATTGAAGTGCGCTGCCAAACATATGCAGCAATAACTTTGCTAAGCTAATAACAGACACCACGGCTGCCACTGCGCAGGACTTTGTAAGTTCCCTACTTTAACATGATATAGCTTCGAAATCTGCTTTTCATATCACACAAGACCACGTATGTTTTTTCCTCAGCATAACTTTTTGTGATGCTTTTGGACACAGTTATGGATTTTAAACAATGATGCTCGCTGTTAGAAGACACCAAAAAGTATAGGAGCAAAGCCAATCATGCGGATAATGTCACAGACTAATTTTGAAGTGGGAGTTCTGCAGGGTTTAGTAAAGTTCGGCCACCTCTCCAGTAAGGAAGTACTGCACTCTTTATCCAAATCGGTTGGATAACAGGAATATTATTTCCCTTTAGTTTCCTAAAAACTTAAGTCAGAAATAGGGTTCACGTGACTCTCCTCTTAGCAGTGGACACTATTTAAAATGTTACTTTATAGGCTTGTGACCGTTTCTATTGTATTGTCTTAGTCTCGGCACACCATTAGAGCTTGCTAAAATCAACTATTTTTAAGCACTTCTGCTTTAATTATCATATATCAGAGGTTGCATAAATAACACCTCTACCATTTTAGTTAATGAGTGCGTAAAGCAAACCTGTCAGGTTCTTAGCCTCCATTTATGAAGATACTCGTTAAGATTTTGCTTGGACGTTGCCACAGTGATCACATAAAAGGTATATATTTCCAACAACTGCAGATCTTGACCAGAAAGAAAATTTATTTCTAAAAACATTTTGTAAATATTTTTAAAAATCTGTTTCACATAAAGCCTGGATGGAGGAAGAGATACATGCATACATGCATACCTACCTGTAATAAAAAAAAGATTACATCATAACTTACAGATTTATATTTTATCAGTCCACCCACACTATGAACATAAACATCAAATCACAGTTTCTTCCATGGAAGAATCATCTTCCATTTGTTCTAAGCACTGAAATATGAAGAACAGGTGTTTGGATTTAATTCCAAATGAGAAATGCAGCTTTTTGGCAGGGAAACGGTTTAGCAAATGGAGAAGGCTGAAATGTGGAAATGTGTTGGCCTGTTTCTGTGTTTACTTGCAGCAATATGACACTTACAGGTCACACTGTTAAATACTAACTCAAAATGGAGATGGAAGCGATCAAATTAACGTAGTCAAATCATGGGTCAGGTCAGAACATACACACACGTGGATAAGGTCCGTAACAGTACGCAGTACTAGTTTATAACAGCTCTATTGATACATAGAGAAAATCTTTCTTTGCCTCAAAGGAATTCTTTTCAAATGAAAATGAATGACTTAGATCAATGCTAAATACTAAAAGATTTAGGACTGGATTTTGTGTCCTCTAAACCCACATAGGACAAAGGTTTTACTTCATTGCTTATGTTGATGGCTTTGTTCAGATCTGTCGTCACCCTTGTTTGTAGGGTATTTTTTTGAAGGTCCTCTGTTATCAGCCAGAGTTTGAGTTTTGACATGTTGGACACTTCACAGAAGGGACAAACAAAAAGTTTAACTTATCACTGATAATTTTTAAAACTAGAAGGGCATATCATGCATTGTGGTTGAATTAGGATTAAGACTGACAGTGCATTAGGATTAAGACTGACAGTGTATTACACCTGAATAACCAGGGGCATAGTCCCTACACAATTATATATATATAAAGCAAAACCAAAAAAAACCCAAAAAACAGAACAAAGAGAAAAAAAAAACAAACCAAAACTAAAAGCAAAAGCACAGAACAATAATATGTTTAACAACCTCTTGAACTTTATCATTAGGCTTGCTGATCTATTGTTGTTACTATGTTTTAGCTTGCTTGCTTGCTTGCTTTTTTGAGCTTACTAACAACGCTCAAGAAGTTAAGTCAAACATTCTTCAGAGAATGAAAATACAATGATAAGGAATAATAAAGAAATAAAGAGCATGGGTCAGTGAATGTAGATTGTATTGGGAGCCAGGCACCATTCCCAGCTCCTCCACTCACCCACCATGTAATGAAGGGCAAATCTTTTCATTGCTCTAAACAATTCTGTTCTCTGTCCACCGTCTCCTTAAATTTTAATTTTGTTGGCAGCCCAAAGAATAATATTTGTATATCCTTATACATACATATACATGTGTATGTCTGTATGTATATATACACACTGCATGGCACAGGAGGGCTCTGTTTAGAGGCTATAAAAAGAATAATAATCATAATATGTTGTAGTTTAAATAATAAAATAGGAAATGGCCTTAGCAGATTTTTTTTTAAGAGTACTATTAAATGAAGGCTTTCAAAAAAAAATTCAGAACCATCCATTCTAACCCTAAAATCTCACCAGAACCACTGGAAGCAAAACTCCTCAGGTCCAAAACCACACAGAATGAATCCAAATGCATCTGAATTAGGTCTATTTGCCAACATATTTCTGCTCCGACTACAAAAAATACTGCCAATAGACATCCCTGGATTTTATTCCATAAACATGCCGATGAGCCTAAAGCAACCAAATTAAATTGAACTCATACTGGAAATCTATAAAGAAAAAGAACACCTGTCAGTGGAAGAACACTTCTCAGATAACGGTCGTTTAATTTGTAACCTCACAGTCCTGATCCTTGAGGAAAAGCTACTTAATGTCTTCCAAGGGCAAGCCTTAGAACTAAGATTGACAAGTGGAAAAATGAGATTTAATGATAGTAGTTTTTAAGGCACATTGTGACCTCCCCTCCTTGTCTTTCTTCATCTTAGGGACAGAAATCTTTCCCCTTAGGAGAATGTATTACTGTCTCTTTGCCATCCTGCACCTTTCCTCCTTCCAATCTCTTTCACCACATCTCCCTTACCTTTCAGAGATGGTTCACAATGAAACTATGAGCTGACGTTTGTTTAGCTTTCAGATCTGCTGCATCTATTTCAGGAACTAAAGAGGAGTCTGAACCCTTCTTTCATTTTTCCAGGTATGTTGACAAACAGGTATTTTTCCAGGTATCTAACAAATGTGTTAGATTTATCTACAAACCCCATCTCAGTTATGTCCTTCAATCACCAGAGTTACCCCAAAACAACTGTACTTGGTTAATGACCGTTTTTTTAAAAAAAAACAAGTACATGGTACGACCCAGATTTTTTTAGACGTCAGTTTTTACCTCTACCCCTTTGCCTAGTGTTTCTTAATAACAGGTTTAGGGCTTTCAGAGGCTATTAGACAAAGATGGTTCCTGGACTACATATCATCTGTAGCACTCACCTTTCCACCCTCATCAAATTTTCCCACGTGAAAAAACCATTCTCGAGAACAGAACCAGGTTGGCATGATCACAGTAGGTCCATGGGAGGTAAACACCTAGGAAAAAGGTGAAAAAAGCCAGTCTTAATTAATAGAATGTCAAAACCAGCATCTGTTGGGGAACAACGTAGACGTTATGCATTCACCTGAAATCCTGCAAATACTTATGCCTATACTTAACCTTCAGCAATTTTAAGCACTAAGAAATGCAAGTGCTTAAAATTTAGCATGTGCTTAGTGGGGTATACCACCACCTTTGAGGTGTCACAGCCCAACAGATAAATCTGCTTCCTGCTTCATATTCCATAACCTTCTCTTCTAGCGTAAGTTGCAACACGTGCAGAGTACTTCAAAGTTTATTTCAAATTTAGAGAGGTACATTGGAAATCACACTTCTATTAATAATGGCGATGTTGATATTGAAGTGAATGAATTGAGAAGAATCTTAAAAATCTGAAGTTCTTAAACTTAACCCTACAATTGCTGTGCACTGATTTTCCATTTTATATTCCTTATCCATATATTAAGGAGGAACTTCAATTGATCTTTTATTTCTGCCAAAGACACTTAAATGTTAATCAAGCTTGGACAAGTAAGACGCAATTTATTTTAAACACTACCAGAGCACTATGGATTTGCTACCCAGTGGTACCTCCCTTAAAAGGTTGTTGGAAAGAAAATGCTTTAGGGACTGAAAAAGGAGTGGCTATTAATTTCATCCTCTTGACTAGTGACAGCCAAGAGCTATACAAATGGTTCTTTGCAGCTTTAAACAAACTCGGTGTAAACACAACTATGAAATAAACCAGAATCTGGATTACGGAAGGTAAACTGGTTTTTTCTTTTATTACAAGATGAAGTATCTAGCCAAACAAGAGACTGAACTTGTCAAACAGAATGTGCAAAGTTAAGACAGGAGACGGTGCCTGCTTCCAACAACGACACGGGAAATAAAGAGCACGGCCTGGTTTACAAGGGCAGAAGAAAGAAACCTCGCAATTACTGCCAGTCTTCCAACACTAATGAAAATGCTGATCTTATGAGCAGATGATTTCATAGCATGCTATAGTGGTAATATTAATATTCCTGTATGGTTGAAATTTTTAAACATCAGTGCACGAACATAAATTTTATCACGCGCATCTAAGCACTGACATTTTAAAGGTGTTCCTCTTGATTTCAACCCGGGATGGAGCTCCTTAAACTCTTCTTATGTCTGACAGCTTCAGTTTCCAACAGATAAACACAGATTTAAAGCCCAAATTTTACACGCTCAGTTCTATACAGACACTTAGACCAGCTCTCCAAGCAAATTAGATTAGAAATCTAATCAAAATTCAACACATGATCTTTTCTTATGGGACGACTCATCTGACCGAACGCAGGCATTCACCTTAGGGTGAAACACACTGCGTGCTAACTCCAGGAACATGATGATAGAACTTCACGATCCGTAAAGGGGTCCTAGGGTCACTCATCTCGATACAGACACTTCAATTTTAGGCAGTCATATTTATTCAGAATAATCCTATCACTCAATGGCTATGACTTCACACATTAGCAGCTTGTTCATAACTGAAATACACTAGCTTCAGAGATGCTAAATGTCAAAAACTCCCCCAAAAAGTCAGTGGGAGCTGAAAGAGTCAAAACAATCCCAGAAAACCAGAGCAGACCTGATTAGTCAGTACATGGTTATTAGCTCCACACTAATTACAAGGGCGATTGAGTATGGCCTGAACCAAACAATGCCCAAACAGTAATCCCAAATGAAAACAACAGTAGGGAGAAAAGCTAGGCTAGAATGCACTGCATTGAGTCTCATTTCTGAATGGAAGAAAATCTTCAAAAGAAAGTCTGGAGCCTATTGGAATATGTGAAATGTGTTCGGAGAGGCTAGAATGCCATTTCCTCGGTGCTGCCAGATTCATCAGAGCACATCAACGCACTTAATCTTAAAGATGTAGCTCAATGTAATCAGTCAGGCTCACGTGCAAAGAGCATACACCCAAAATATCTGTGTTCCGCTGACGTATATTACTTAAGTGAAACCAAACAGAAGACATTTGTAACACCGAGAAAAGAAAAAACATCAAAATGTCGCTTCTGTTAACAGAGAGGATATGATGATGATTATATAGTAGAGCATCACACACCGCACACACTGACGTCTCTCCTAAATCAGACAGGGCTCTACGGCTCACTGTCCATCTCAGAAAAAGATACTAGAGGGGAATCACGCAGACAAAGCTGAGACTGATGATGAGGTGGCTGGATTGCCATGTATGATTTCAGGGTCTTATCCTTCAAGAAAATCTTTGAACCTGGAACAGTACACCAGCTAAGAGTCAATGAACTGATAAAAAAGCTTTTTCTATATGAATATTTATAATGTGACATCGAAATAAACTTTAGGAAATTTACATTTGTGCTGCTGCCACAATGGACAAAGCCATGCTACCTCATCCCTTGCTGAAATTCTTTTTTTTTTTTTTGTTAGCTTAGTTTTCAGCTGGATCTGCTCCCTGATCCAACTAACCACAAAAACACCAGTGTTACCGCAAAGGAGGATGTGGAAACAGGGCACCGAACACAGAGAGGACAGCAAGACCGTTCTTTTCAGCAGCAGTATAGATAATCCATAAATAATCTTTAAGATGGTGGAACTGTATGCTCAAAGGCTAGATTTACAGTACACCTATATTAATTTAAGAGCTCTCCCACTCCTCCTGCCTCTGGTTATGCATCCCAGTCACTTACGACAGCACTGGCACTCACCTGACCCCATGGGCAGCTAGATCAGAGCCCCACAGCAGGAAGAAAGCTATTCTTTTCTTTTCTTTTTTTTAAGCATTAGTTTTCTATAGCCTGAGTTCTCCGAACGGGTTCACTGTGGGGTCAGACTAGCAGTACTGCTGACATACTGGAGGGGGAAGAAACAAGCTTTGGAGAAGAAAACAAGACCTCCCTTTTTGGTCACTGCCCACAGTTAATCAGTCCAGCTGTACTATAAAACTGCGCCCTCCGACTGAACGCTTACAGCCATGGGGGCAGAACTGGCTCAGGAAAAACACCAAACTCCTAACAACTATACTGAAACTCTCCAGCATCTGCCAAACTTTTGAAAGCTACCTTCAAGAGCTTTTGAAATTTCATCTTCAAGAAAAAAAAAAAAACAAAAAAAACAAACCAACCTCAGCCTTCTGCAGTTTGGAAATTCTAGATTTCAGCTTCGTTTAGTCAGACGGGAAAGTCTCCTCTGGATTTCTTTTTTGCCTACTCTTGTCATACACACTTGACAAGGTGTTAAAAAAACGGTCGACTTGGCTGACTGTGATAAAAACTGCAACTTCTCACTTTGTGAGATTGCCACTCAAGATTTTACCCATAAATCTTTTAGATTGCGTGGACTGGAACAAGAGAAGCAAAGAGGGCATGCTAGCCTTAATCTGAAAATCACTCAAAAGCAGAATTTGAATTACGATGCTGCTCTGTAACTGCTATGTTTAGTTTTCTTGGAAACATTCTCCAGCTCTGCCCAACAAATGTCCTGTATCACCCTGGAACCTCAATGGGTTTTCAGTCCTCCTCGAGGAGTTACTTCAGCATATTGGAAAGCAGTTTGGACCTGTGAACCTTTCTCACGCAGCTGTACGGGAAGATTAATGCTTATTAATAGCTGTCATTAATTGCAGTATGCTGTAAAGATTATCTACGTATCATCTAGTTGAATGAAGCCAACTTGTTAAAAACTAACTACAGAGCTTGTAGATGAAGGTATAAATCTGTTCAGATTTAGAATTCCTGAAGTGTTGTCATAACCAAATTGGAATCCACCTTCATCAGTTCCAGGTGACAGAGACAGGCTGCCACTTCAGCACCGTATTTGTTAAATTATTCAGAACTTTTATTGTCATCTGGTTTTATTCCAAGGATCAAGTAGCAAGTAATCGAAACCGATTTACTCTGGTTTGTTCTTGCTAACTGGCTATCGAATTACAGTCAACTATTACAGAGAGTCTCTGAAAATAAATCTAAAGAATATAAAGAGCTGATAAAGTGCCTTTCATTTGTTGTGGTTCGAAGCTGTCAACAGCACATGTAATTCTGGTCCCCACCGATGCTCACTTCAGATCATGTCAGCATTCAATAAGGAATTTAAGTTCCGATACTGAGAAAGGCATTCATGTTTATAGAACTCTTCAAGGAAAGTTCTATTTCCTGAAGCAGCAAATCAAAATCTAAGAGCAATGTGGCAAAAGACTACGTGCAGATGGTGAAACAACCTTATCACACGATGTCATGCAGAATGCAGGCAGGAAACCACGCAGTTCACAAGAGCAACACGTTTAACCAAGGGCCCAGACTGCTTTCCAATGTAACACGTTAATTCCCCAAAATACACTACGCATTTAATTCTACTTATGCTATAGCATTTGTGAAAATTATATCCACGCAGATCAAGGATTAGAAACAATCTCCTATGTTATGGTAAACAAAGTTTTCCAATACCCAGGGTCATACATGAACATGTTAGAAGGTGAAATAGAAAACAAAACAAACAAAAAACCACATGGTGGAGGGCCGCAATGATTTTGTGAGGTGTAGGCAGCCCACAGGCCAAAGGACATCGCTCCTGACTTAGAAAAAGTTATGTGTAAAGATACCCGTGCTTTAATTCAGCAGTGAATGTACCAGGACCTCATTGCTAAAGATTACCAGGTTTACATTCAGAATCAGGTACGTGCATTAGTGTGACAGAAGAGGTACGGAAGGCAGGGCAGGGACGGAAAGACTCCTTATCCTACTTCAAAAAAGTATTCGGCAAATAAGATTTTAAAAAAAAAAAAAAAAAAATTACAACAAACTTTCTTAAGCTTTAAGTAACCTAAACACCCAATCTGGTATGGATTACATTCAGTTAGTTTATATTGTGCTGAACTGTTTAACCCTTTCATATGCCTATCTAAATAATTGCCTGTATCACCTAATCATTGCATGCTTCGACATTAGCTGAAAATCCCTGCTCTAAAGAAGCCGGGATCTGGCACAGCAAA